AATATATTTATCAACGTTTTATTATTATCAATTATTCAAATAATTATATAGGCGGGTTTGATCGAAGCAAGTGTCAAGTCAAGATCTATGAAGTTTGCAAAACGAATGTTTATCAATTATTCAACAATTACATAGGCGGGTTTGATCGAAGTAAGTATTAAATTAGTTGAAGCTATTTGTAAAATATATTTATCAACGTTTTATTATTATCAATTATTCAAATAATTATATAGGCGGGTTTGATCGAAGTAAGTGTTAGTCAAGATCTATGAAGTTTGCAAAACGAATGTTTATCAATTATTCAATAATTATATAGGCGGGTTTGATCGAAATAGTGTTAATCAAGATCTATGAAGATTGCAAAACGAATGTTTATCAATATTCAATAAAATAAAATTTTGACATTAGCAATAGAAATAAAATGTACTTCAATTAAATGTATTTTTGGTGCTAGATGGGAGATAGCAGTGCATTTCTTTAATCAATGCAATAGTCTATTTATTAAATTTAAAATAAATGAACTTAGCCGTTCTTTGTATTTTTTTTTAATAATAAAGATAATTCTCTTCCCGTTCATCTGGGAAAAAATCACGTGACAAAAGATCTGCAATATAAGGAAATTTTTCAAATTTTTATTTTGTCTATTTTTTATAACTTTTTTGTGTGTAACACGTCAATTTTAGTAAATTCGGTAAACTCGTGCAACTTTGAAGCTCAAATCCTCCACATGACATATCAACAAGGTGAAATCATAATTTTGTAGAGGCTTCAAATACACAATTTATTTTGGGATGTTGCATTTCTATTTTTGGAGAATTTGAAAACCTACATGACCAATAAAAAGTTGTGGGACTAAGTAACTTGCACTATATTTATATATTTAATTAATACCTAAAAAGACTATTGGCAAAATAAACGTGTTAACTAAGGTTTCTGGTCAAAAACTGCTTCTATTAGTAGCCGAAATTGCCTAAATACTTTGGGCAAAAATTATTTTTTTATAAGCCCAAACTACTTTTTGTTATTAGCCGAAATTGGGC